GGGCAGGAGACCCAAAGTGCGAGCAGGCTGGAGCACAGCAGCCAAAGCACAGACCCTCTTTTCTCCATCAACAGTCCCCGGGGCAGAGAAACTGCTGCTGCAAACCAGGATGCTTCACTCGAGCGGGAAGGCTGGGATGTGCTCAAACCAGCCCCGGCTGCTCTCGCCGCTGGAGCCCCGGCTGCTCTCGCAGCTGGATCCGGCTCCGTCCTCCCCCACCCACGGAGCCCTGGGACACAATGACCAACTATCTCAGCACCAGGTGTGCGGTCCCACCCTCCTCTGCCCGTCAGCGCATGGGAAGAGTTTGTCACCGGGGCGTAAAGCGATACCAGATGCTGCCTCTGCCTGTTGGTACTGCACTAAAGCTCCCACCCCGCTGCTGCGAGGAGGTGGCTGGAGCCAGGCCTGGCGTGTATGAACACAAATCTGCTCCTTCCGCGCCCGCCCGGATGAACCCGTCCCTCCAGCTGTGCCCAGGCGTGGGAACATCTGCACGCTTCGTGTGCGCTTCAGCACCGCGGGCCAAACAACTCTTGGTCCCCAGCTGACACTCACCTGAACATTTCAGTTACTTCTCCTTTTGCCAAGGCCACGAGAAGCGGGAATCCAATGCATGCGGGGACCAGGTACAGAAGAGCAGGCTGTCAGGACAGGAAACAACCGTTACCCCACAAATTGGCCCTTGGGAGGAGTCCAAGGTGAGCTGGCCCTGTCCCTCCTGCACCCAAGGCATAGGTCAGAGCGCTGCACAGAGGGTTTATGCCCCAAAAAGCAACTTTGAGAGCCACGTTACAGCTGCAGCAGCACAAAACCCTCGCCTTGAGGTCCCAGCATGCCACAAACAAACCAAGGGCTCCTGGGCAGAGCATCGACAGCATTCACGGATTAGGGGCTCCCAGGGCCCCTCTGCAGTGCAAAGCAGGGGTCTTCAGGATCAGCTTGGTTGGCAAGAGCCACAAAAAACACACGGCAGCGCAGATGAAGCGCTGTTCAAATCACCCTTGTCCCAACCAGAGCCCTTTCCCAGCCAAGCACACAAGCTTTGGGCAGGGCAAGGTACAGGCAGGCACTGGAAAAAGCAAAGCCAAGAGAAAGAATGCATCTACTTTTTCCTGGCACGCTGCAAGAAGCCCGTGGCCAAGCTGGCATGTCCTGCTGTGGAGGCGGCGTGGTGGAGCTCACCTGGGCATGCTTGAAGATGTGCATGATGAATATGGTCAGGCCCAGCCCGAAGATGTAGGCCACGAAGCTGGTGTAGAAATATGTGTGTGTGTTCTTCTTCAGGCTGCAGGGAAAACGGAGCAGAGCCTGGTGACTTCGGCTCTGGGATGCCAGCGGCCAAAACAGAGCTGGCCCAGCAGGAAATCCTTGGGATGAGGTGACACCCGGGTGAGGGGCTGGGGCAGGGAAGGAGACGCATGATCCTGCTGCTGGATGGCTACTGGGGGGAGGAATCAGCACTGGGACCCAGAGACAGGGTCCCACCTGCTCAGGGCGGGAAGCACAGCTGGTCCCCAGCACCCCGCTCTCGGCACATGTGGTTTTCTTGCAGGGCAGCCTGCGGGAACTGGGATTCCCAGCAGGTGCAAGGCAGGACGTGGGTGGAAACACCTGGAAGAGCTGGCACAGACCAGAGGGTCTGCGCAACAG